CAGAAAGGCTGGGATATTTATAGATTCCGTATCATCGTCAGCGTTCTCCTATGGTGTAAATCTGTTTTCTTTTTGAATTGTAGGAAATTTCAGGATGATAAAACAGACGATATAAATGAAAGGTGTGAACAATTTGATCCAAATAGATATTTGTTTCATAACCTTTCAAATAGAGCGCTGACACGGAACAGTAGAAAAATATGCAAACCAAGGACGGCATAAAGACGTCTTACAATTGTAGAAACGACTGCCGATACGGCCCTTAGTTAGTGTTAACTTAACGACTTCTTGCAATGAACAATACTACCAAAGTTCAATATACATATATTGATGAATGACCATTTTTCGTAATACTTTGTTATACCCTGTTTCTTGAAAACTCAAGCTTTTAGGATACATGGTTACGTGATGATGGTCTCCGAGAAAAATAGTATCAAATAGATTGTCTTGGTGCTTCCTACACCTACATATATGCCTAAATGTTAAACTCCAAAATAATGTTTCGACTACATTCTAACATGGAGTCATCACAAACGACAGCAGGATATTTTCGAAATTTTCCAAAATTGTAACCACTGGGGAAGTAAGGGGCAAATTTTAATACGGGGCTTGATGCTCAGAACTCCTAGCAACTCACATACTGGCAAACAGTGAGAAAGGAATGCAAAGGGCTTGAAAATCTTGAAGTATCTAGGCCTCCTTCTTATCACAAAGATGCAGTCTTTACGACTATCCTGATTAAATACTACAAAAAATAATAATAGAAAATACTGTCTTCTGTAACAGCTGTAATGGCTAACGTTCCATCTTCTAACATAATACGAGGTCTGTAAATTGAGTGATGAGAATGTTTTTTAAATTTTTGAACTCAAATACAATTACAATTTTATATTGATCGTTCATGATCGTGATGCAACACCCAGTTGTTCTTTATCTGACTGTCAACAGTGCCAACCGACGATCTGAACGCACAAGATCCCGGATTCTGTCGATATTCTCATCGGTTCTTGAAGATGAACGGCTTCCACTTCGTGGTTCATCTTCAATCGACTCTCTCCCTTCTGAAAATGGTTAAACCAACGAAAAACCTGGGCTCTTGACAAAACACTATATCCGTAGGCCTGCTGAAGTTTAGCAAGAGTTTTCGTTGCACTGTGTACAATTATTATTAATTAATTTTTTAATTAATTTAATAAATAAAATTTATAGGAATTTGGATAATAAATCTCGTGTGCTCAAGTAGCAAAACCTGATAGCACATCGCTCTCGGAAATTGATGTCATTCATTTTTAGAAAACAATAGAAAAAATTGTTTCGCAAAAGAAATCGCTTCGGACAGCCAAATGACTCATGTTACCCTGTCTTCCCTCCAAGTCTGGCACCTCCAGTGTTACCAGATAGAGCGCTACGTTGCCAGTCTCATCACTTAATTTACAGACCTCGTATATATACGCGAAGATGATGTTCCAAACAGTTGAGTGGGTAGGTGCAACGGGCAATTATGTACCACAATTCATTATCGTATTATCCACGTACGTTAATGAAGTACCGGAGTAGAACCCATAAGCTGAATATCATAAAGAATCTAGAACAAATTGCTAGATCCTTTACCTTTTTAAAAAGTTTTGATTTAGCTGGAGTCACATCTTGTATATATAAACACTAGTTGAAGCCGTCCTAAATTCCTATACCCGGTTTTATTGTCTTAGTAATGGGTTTCCGAACGCCTATTGGAGTGATCATTGTTTTTTGTTTGCTTAGGCTTTAACTAATGCCTAATCCATTAATCTTTATATTTATGATATAACGCAAGCGCTGTGTACTATTATTGGCTAATATTTATCTCTCATATCCATATTATACGTGACAGGATATTTATCAGACTTCAAGCTTCAAGTAAATCCATTAAAATAATAGTTTCAACAAACCTGCATATTCTGATATTAAACCCCGTTAAGGGATGAGTTTTCAAAAATCTCTTCTTATGGAGGACATCTTTGCAAAATGTCAAGTTTCTAAGATCAGCGGTGTCGGCTTTGCATTCGTATGCCAATCAGCGAATGAGTAAATGAGTCTTCGCACTCCTTCTTTTAAACAGGGTGTCCGAAAAGTCATGGATCGAACAGAAGGAGGTCTTTGGAGGTCATTACTAATGAGAAAAACCAAATATGTTCAATGTGCATAGTTTTTGAGTTATTGCTATTTTGGAGAATTTGTAGAATATCGCTAATTTTGAGACTGTCATCTTTTTTCTAAAATTATCTTTTGTCATTTCTCAATCAACTTTACAAGATATATGTTCCTAAATGATCTATCGTTGAAAAAATTATAACTGGAAAATTAGCTCAGTTAATGTGGGTAGCAATCAGGTTAAACGTAATTTTGTCTGTTGTCAAAAATATTACAGGATTTTCAACAAGGCCTGTACAAAAATAGTGGGCAGATAAAGTGTCCATAGTTATTTTGGATAATCAAATGTTCTGAATAGTTCTTGCGTAAGACAGATAGGTACTCTAAGGTTCGAAAAGTCCCATTTTGTGAGCTTTAATCCTATAACCTTCTACATTCCGAATAGGATGAGAAAACAATTGAAGTATCATAAGACTTAAAACTTGAATGAATTCTGGGTCTAAATAATACTGTACTTGAAAAATATTGTGGAAGGCCATAATATCCTAATTATGAATAGTTTACCTTTCCACTGATTTTTTCTACTGCCTTACTCGAATATGTTCTAAAATTTTGGACAATATCTGGTCACATATCCTGTGAAGTCGATTAAGAGATAACAAAAAATAATTTCATAAAGAAAAATTACAGACTCAAAATTAGCGATTGTCTACAAATTCTGAATTGTATTTCAGATATCTATTTCTATTATCTCCTTTCGTTTGATCTAAGACGTTCGGGACTAGCTGAATATGGAGAAAAACATACCAAAGATATAGGCTTTAATGTTTTTTATTGACAAAAATCGCAAGCAAATATACTAAGTGACATATAAATCCGAACACCCAGTTTAAATGGTTTTATTTTAATAAAAGTTGGTGTATGTATTTATCTTACTGTAAATAACAAGTGAAAAATTTTTCAGCCTTATCAGTTGGACATTCCGGTTTTTATACTGCTTTTTTTCAATTCACTAACTAATTTTGGTTCTTGACATCCTTTACGATCGGTTACGATGCCTAGAGTACGGAGACCTGCACAATTTCGTCAACTTAGTGAGTTTGATAGGGGCCGTATAGTGGGATTTCGGGAAGCTGGACTTTCTTTTCGGGCAATTGCAGTTAGAGTGCAAATAAGTGTAGACACTGTGGTTAGGCATGGCTTCGAGAAGGCCGTACGCAAAGAACAAGGGGTACTGGACGCCGCCGTAGAACAACAGTGAACCGTGAAGATCGCCGCCTAAGATTATTGGCCTTACGGGACCGTTTCTCCACTACCAGGTCCATTGCAAATGAATGGTTTGCAGAACACGGAAGACCTATTGGCATGCGAAGTGTTTACCGACGAATGAGAAGTTTTGGCTTGTTTTCATACCGGCCACACTGGGTCCTCCCTTTAACTCGAGAACACCGACGTAGTCGCCTTGAGTGGTGCAGACAACGGTCACTCTGGGATCAGGAATGGAACAGTATTGTCTTTAGTGACGAGTCTCGATTTTGTTCAGGCATGCACGATGGTCGTGCCAGGGTTAGAAGGCGACGTGGTGAAAGGAGGAATCCACAGTTTTTTGTTGAAAGACATGTTCATCACACTGTTGGAGTTATGGTTTGGGGTGCTATAGCTTATGGTTCCAGGTCACCTTTAATGTTCATCAGAGGTAACATGAACGCTCAGCGTTATATCCTCAAAGTTCTAGAACCCCATCTTTTACCCTATATTGACACCCTGGCAGATCCAACTTTCCAACAAGATAATGCCCGTCCACATGTTGCAAGAGTCACAATAGACTTCTTTCAACATAATGATGTCACATTGTTACCATGGCCACCAAGATCTCACGACTTATCCCCAATTGAGCACGTGTGGGATATAATGCGTAGGAGATTGCTCAATTTGCAACGTCCTCCTCAGAATCTAGGAGCACTTCGAGAGGAGTTGGTGGTTGCCTGGAATGAGATACCACAGGAGGGCATTGACCACCTGATCAGAAGCATGCCTAGGCGCTTTGGAGAATGCGAAGCACATCAGGGTGCATCCACACATTATTGAAGGTCAAAGGGCTTTAAAGCAGTGCAATCATTTTGAAATTTTTATCATTTACTTATTATGCTTCATTAAGTACTTATACAAAATTTTATTAAAATAAAACCATTTAAACTGGGTGTTCGGATTTATATGTCACTTAGTATACTTACTAATCTACGAAAAACTAATCAGACATCTCCAGGTTAGGATACAAGATTCCAATCTTTTTGTAAAGCATCAAAATATACTCGAATGTACTCTTACATCTTAGATGGAGGTAGTCATTTTAACGCTTTTGTCGGTTAAAAATGTTCTCTTGTGTTATTAAAAAAAATTGTTTTCAGTATTTGTCTCGTCTTCTTCGAACCGAAGCTGTCTTTCAAACATCGTTAAAGGACAAAATAGTGTTGGAATAATCAAAAGAATCATCCCTTGATTTTTTACTCCATGTTTCATAATTCCATAATTTATTGTATGTATAGTCAGTCACTGTGCTATGAGTTTGCAGATTTGGTTGTACAGTCTGCGAAAACCAAAAGGTTATTAATTTTGGCCCAACAAACAAGCTTAAAAATCGCTTCAAAATGAACTAATTTTAAAATACTCTTCGGGGTTTTGGTGGGGGAAGGTTTTAACTCAGCTCCTCGGCAAAATTAAAAAATAACTTTGAACCAAGTTTTCAAAATTTAAAATGACCGCTCTCCGGGTTTTTCAGACATTAAATATCTCAAAAACGGTCTACCTTAGAGACAAGTTACTGAGGACCTTTTTTGATTAAATTAATCTAAAAAAAAAAAAATAGAAATAAATGGTAGAAGCGAAAAACAATTTTTTTTATAATTCGTTTAACAAAAATTGTCTACACAAATTTTATTCAGGTATGTATGCACTGAGAGTGAAACCGGTGGTATAAGGTATGAGTTAATGTAATATCGTTGTCTATCTTTTGTTAGCCTACCAAGCATTTTTCCCGCCCCCATCATTGTTCTTTTGTTTTTTCGGATAACTCTGAACAAGAAAGACTCTCAATAACTTTTCTCTAAAATTGGCCGTCTTAGAATTATAAGCCATTTAATGTCTGAAAAACCCCAAAAATGGTACAAGATCGTGAATAGTTTTTAGCGTTATTTGTTAGACCAAAATTAGTGAACGTTTGGATCTCGCAGACTGTACCTAGGAACAACACACGTAAGTATTCTGTTTTATGATGCCAGGTACTACAGAACTAAAAAAGTGGTACCTTAAATCGATGTGTTATCTATTTGGTATCTTAAGAGTAGGAAAGAGTTCATAGTGATTTCAAGTAATGACAATCTTTAGGCAGGTTTATCGAAAGAATGTATTCATTTAGTATAATTGTGTGTTAGTGCTACAAACTGTAGGAATAGTAGTGCATCATTTATAGGAGGCTGTAAGTCTGTCAATAATCTTACGAGCAAATTTACTTTGTGGTTTCATTTAATTCCACTATCATATATTCAGTTAAATACATTTAATTATTTTAAAACATCTCATCCCTCACATAATTATATATCTCCAAAATTATTATCTACAGTTCTATTCAAATTGAAAAAATGTCTATATTCTGGGTATCTTGAAGCTCTATCAAAAATAGCCTCTAATACTTTCCTAATTTTAGTGTAGTGCTATTAAATTTAGAAATGAACGATATGCTGGAACTCAAACTAGATAACTTTTTAAATTACGATGATGAAATGTTCTTCGGAATGAGGATTGAAACAGTTTTTCATACAAGCATATTTTTAAATGCCAGCATAGCATATGCTCTATTTCACGAGAATCCATCACGCTTTGACGTCTACTGCAGGGAACAGCTGATCAGCAAGTGACATTTTTGTGTTAGTCTGCAACGTTGGCTCTAATGCATCGGATGTAAATCTGGTAAAACTTGTTTGTAGAGTTTTGTTTTTTGTTTGCAAATTGACTTTTCTAAATAAAAGGGCTGTTAGCAAGTACGAAATGAATCTGTAGTGTAAAAAACAAAATATGGCTCTGTCTACCTGGCATTGACGGATCCGTCAGAATAATGTGTCCTTTGCGGATATGGGGAATTTTGAAATATTACTAATAATTTTACCGTAATGAAAAATACCGTATAGGGCATTACGAAGGGGTGTGTTAATTTAGAACAAAATCAGGTCAGTTCATATACTATCTTTTCTACTTGTATTTATTTCTGCCATAAACAGATTTCAAAATTTACAATTCAGATGTATCTAGCCATTCTAGCCTATTCAAGAGCCCACCTGATAATAATAATCATTCATTTTTTACTACACCGTACACTGTTCAATAGTAGTGACTAACAAATCAAATAAGTTCATAATATTGTGTGTTACCTGCCCAAGCCGGTGTCTGTTAAATACTCTGCATTATAGACCAGTGGTGTTATATTTGGTGAAAATTATTCTTATATTCTGGTACTGGAACCACAAATTAAATAACTTTTGATATTTCCGGTACGAAACTAATACAAGAGAGTATCATGGGCTACGGTTACTATGAATGCGAAATCTGACAAAATTTTGTTCTGACGAGTACGAACGAGAACGTCGGCCAAGCGGTTACACTGTGCGCGTTTTCTGACATTTTGTTATTCAGTTGTTTTCTGCCACCCAGCAGCTGTTTGAGTAATTACGGAAAAGCAGAACATCTCAATTCTTTATTTTCTAGCAGGGTCGACAAAGGGGAGTTTGAAATATGATTCGAAGAATTGCTAGACTATCCGCAAAAGTCTGTCGAGTATTTCAGGGTGAGATGGACATATTAGAGCCCCTGCACAATGTCTCAGTTTTACGGAGATGTAATCACTACGGGCAAAGCGCGAATGAGGCTAGCGAAACCTTAATCAATAATTTTAGCTTTGGCTATACAATTAATAGGTATAAAGAATGTAAATGTGTGTAATTGATACATACTGATACTTCCAGTAAGTATCAGTATGTATCAATTCTCTCAACACTACCAGTTAGTGTTGAGTTCTGTAGCAACGTTCTTCCATTTTTGCCGAGAAATATCTATATTATGATAATTTTTGTCTCCCATTATCCACAGCGATTTGTTCTCGTGCAAGAGTTATCAATTTATCATTGTCCATGGTGAAATAACAATTAGAACCCAAAAACAGATACCTAGTACAAGTCTTATGAAAAAATCAAATCTGAACGCTCAAACAGTTCTGACGACGGCGAGCGTATTCTGACTTGGTGGTAGCTGCCAGTGTAAACACGCTCATTGGAAAACAGGCTTATTCGAACGCATTTTGAGAATTCGCATCCATAGTAATCGTAGGCTTAGATTGTAATAAATAGCCTACGTCTCCTTGGGGTGCGCTTTGTTCAGTAACTGTCACAAACAATTCAGAGATATGAATTATCCGATGATACAACTCTAATGGAAACTCGAGGATATCATTCGAAGTTGCATTTTTGCCCATTCAGACATTGTGTGATGATTACAGAACCAGTAGCTTCTGAAAGTTATGGTTATCTCTTTGATCCTTCGCGTCCCTACATAGAAGTTTTACGCATGTAGCTCTAATCATCTACAGTTTTTTATGTGTCATATACCGGATGTTTCAAATTCGGCTCTTATCATGGAGATCCCGGAAACGGTAAGAGATAAGTCGGTTAAATGGAGAAAAGATGCGCATTTAGGTAACTAATGAAATGGCAATTAGAACGTTTCGCAAATAGAAGTTCCGGAGATAGACGAAAGAAACCGAATTTTTTAAAAATCGTTTTTATTTTTTCCTGCCTTTTTAGGATGCGATTTAAAATGTAATCGTCATTTTTTCTTCTCTAGAAGGTGGCATCATTAAAAAGGCAATATGACGTTGCGTCTCTTGTCCCCAACCATTAAGTTTATTTCTTTTAGAGGCGCGATAGTCAGATAGTTTTCCAATTCTGATTCAAAACAATCATAATATGTCAAACATTGACATTGCCAAACTTTATTTATTAAAAAACAGATTTTCATAAGTAGGCCAGATAACATTCTTCCAGTTTATATGAACTAGACATACGAGGTCTCTAAATTAAGTGTTGAGACTAACCTTATTTATAGTTTTTCATTCAAATACAATTACAATTTTATATTGGTACCGATACTGGAATAGCCTTCAAAATTGTTTCACAAAAAAAATCTCTACTGACAACCAAATGACTCGACCGAGTTCAAACTTGTACTAAAGGCGGATCACATGTTCCCCTGTCTCCCCTCAAGCCCGGCGCTTCGGGTGTTCGATCGAGCGCTACGATGCCATAACTGTATTTACAGACCTCGTAGACGAACAGCCCTATTTCCGATTTTGATGATGTGATATTGTACATGTCATGACAGGGTTAAAAGTTCAAATTTTTGAAAAAATTGAAAAAATCTTCCTATAGTTGGTCTTAACTCATCGAATAAAGAACAGATTTTTCACGTTATTTAACGGTGGTGCTCAAAACATTGAAAACAGTATTATTTTGTGAAATTGATATGAACAAGATTTTGGAGTAAAAAGAAGCGTCGACCATGTTGCAGCTTCCCAAACACATTTCATATCCCTCATATCTTGAACGATGCACATATCTTGCATTCAATTACTATTAATCTACGGCTGAAGTGTCAGAAATTGAAATATGGGAGATTTAATCCGATAAACATGTCATAAACTGTCATTTTTAAAGCCAACTATAACAATAATAGTTTTTTTCGAAATAACGTAGGGTTGACAATCTCAATTACATATACATTTTTGGAATCAGAATAAAAAACTATTCAACTATGGTGTCAATCAGAAAAAATAATTTACTGATTGAGGACAAGAGTCAAAACTTCATATTGAAATTCTTGTAGAGGAGAAAAATTTTGAAATCATGTCTCAAATAAAGCCAGGAAAAAATAAAAAACGATTTGGGAAAACTTCGGCTTATTTCCTTTATTTCCGGAAATAATAGGAATTGTTTCTATGTGACATTTTCCTAGTTACCTAAGTGCGTAACTTTGCTCCCGTTTAACCGACCTTGTATCTCTTACCGTTTCCGAGGTCCCAATGGTGATAGTCGAATATAGGAAAGATTCAACTATAGGAACAGTGGAAAGAACTACACCTGAGTTGCATTCTACCAAGATCAATAGTAATCCTATTTATTTTTCATTAATCTTTCGATTTAATACAACACGATCACAGTATTTAATTGGTTATATCGATAAAGTGCTGTAATGTTCAGTATAAAATATTTACTTCACATATTTAGACTTTCATTGGCATATGTGTTGATATACCTCTCTTAGTCACGAACATAAGATAAAAGTTGTTTGAGGAGTCAAGGCAAGGCCAGTTTCAATATAGGCTGAACTGCATACTTATTCTGGTATGGGATATGGTTTGAGGTTCAGTAAAAGATTGCTGTCGATTAATTATTGCATTTTTCTCTACAATCCAAAAGTACGAGTCGGTTTTCGACCACAAAATCGATGTTGGAGTCAAAGATGATCCATCTTGGATATGTGCGTTAATAGGTCTCCGCCCCCTACTTATTTTTTGAACGGGTCAAGTCAGCCAACTGAAATTCGGAGTAATTGAACAAATGGATACGAGATCTTAGGGTAAAACTGTCAATTTTGTTAAACAGAAATGTTTCATGTTTTATTGCACATTCAGATAGACTCTTGCAAAAGAAGAATATTGATATAACATACTATAACATTTTCATGATACGTTTTTGAGTTATAAGCGATTCGATATACGAAAACGCGCAACTTTGACAACCTGCCAGTCCGCCAATTTAAAAGTTGGGGATTTTATATTCTAGACTTATAAAGTACTTAGGTAGCTTTAAATTGAAGTATCACCCCACCCTCTATTCCTTTTAAAAACATGTTCCAAAATGACGCCCGGCGATCATATTGAAATTTTAAACTGTCTCTTTTACACTAAGATATAGTATTCATTCATTTGAACTTGCTAGCTTAACCTGTTCAAAAAATATATAGGGTGGTGGCCTTCTCAAATAGTGCACATTAGCCAGTGGCGGCGTTAAGCGTCATCCTCGCGTCTAAGAAGGGCATCGCAAGGAAGTTATAAAAATATCATATTTTTAGTCATTGGACGATCCTAGGTTCAATAGATGGAATCCATAGCCATCAACTTGGGAAAAACTATTATCGGTCAAGGATTAGCGGACAGACAAACAGACCTACCGACAGAACGGCAGACAGGCCGACTGACAGAGCGTCAGAGAGGGGAGGGGTCCAGTTTAAGAGAACTTTCTCTATTGGCTTTTCTGATTATATGATTCGCTCACTAAGCTAAAAGTGATACATTATTTGTTACAGGTCATGTCAGACGCTACAGAGGTTTTTCCACACATCAATGTGAGAGACCTAATACGTTCCTTCGAGCAAAAATCTCTTGATGGCAACATTACACAGCGTCGAGCAAGATCAAAATCATTCGGAGTTATCGATGAATACACTACAGTACGTTGTGACGACTTAGAGACACTTGAAGATGTAGAAGAAGCGTTGATACTTACAGAAACATATATGCGACACTACTTCGTATACGACAAAGATAAACATTTTTCTTTTCTAGAACAATTGTTCAACATCCTTACATGCACTGTGAACATTGAAAGTGAAACGAAGGGGGATCGTGAAAAAAAGAAGCGTTTGAATAGTAGAACAAAGAAATTGCTTGTGGTTTTGCATTCTAAAGTACCTTTACCTACTTCCACGTCGTTTAAGACATACACCAATAGCAGGGAAGGAAGTCAATATGATGACGTTTTTCCATCGTCCGTAAGTGGCGATCGGCTATCGCCATCTATGACTAGTGATAAGTGCACATTGTTGAATGGAGACATATCAGATGTTTGTGTTAAAAGCCTAAGGTCCAATTTTGAAGACCCCAGAAATGCAAATAAAAAAATAAAAGTCATCGTGTCAACTCCAAAAGCTAAGAGTGTAGAAAACCTATGTAGAGAAGATCAAGATACTAACAATAATGAAAACTTGCATGTGCTAGAAGACTTTATCAAAGAAAACGAAAAAGTTTCTGTTAAAAAGTTGAAAGCTAATTTTGAGTCGAATGACGAAATTGAGTCAGATAATTCGTCGGCAGAAAGGAAGAATGCGAGTCCGGTGTTGAGCAGAAGTGTATCAATCAATCGAATATCTAAAACATTAAGTGGTAATTTTGAAACAACCGAGGGAACAGAAACATCGGGAAGTGATGGAAAGCAGAGTCCGGGATTGATTAGAAGTGTTTCATTGAACAGAAGTGTAGATTTTTCTGATGAAACAGACAAATCGCCATGTTCTGTTTCGGTGATTAAATTAAAAAAAATTTTTGAAGACAAATCACGAAGATCAAGTCGAATGGAAGTTGTAAACGAAAGTCCAAAATATAAAGTGCATCTAGACAAGAACATGCCGTACACTGACGGAAATTTGGCATTCCACAGACTGAAAAAAGCTCATTCTGGCTACTATCTGGATTATTTGAGTCTGATCAAAATGGCTAACTTGTGCAAAAGCGATGGCAGAGATGACTTAAATCAAACATACCATTCGGAAAAATTTGACGCTGATGATGCAGGAAGCACAAGAGATGAATCTTGTAGAAGCGACGAATATAACACTGCTGATGAACTTGATAATTTGGATGAAGATTTCAAGTATGAGAAAGCCACGGAAGCCAACGTCCAGTATAAATCTGCTACTATTGGTAACTTTAGTTTATTATCTATATGCTCAGTTTTGCGTATTCCTAAACTAGAATATAAAACCAACTGGCAAAGTAGCTACGACTAGCCTCAGTTAGACTGCGATGCAGGTATATCCAGAGACGCGTGTATCGAAAATATTCATCTATTATTCTGTTTTAATTGCTATGTTGTGTGAAATACGTCTCATGGGTGTGTAGAGGTTGAAAGCCTCCTTTACCCGTACAACTACCATTCGTACAATTGTAAAAGCTGCAAATTTTTAAGGGCGTAAGGGGAAATCTATGATATGTGAAATATGTCTGATAGGTGCATATAAAACCGGGGTTGGAAGTGTATTAGCATACTAACATCAAAAATTGCGATATATCCCTAAACATTTTTTCAAAAATGATCAGGATCATATGAAATGCCAAAGAATGAACAAAAACAATATCTCATCATATAGTTAGTTCTTTTTAATATGAATTGAATAGGTAAAATAAACAATAATTTATGTAAGTAAATTTTTGATAATCTCACTGACCTGCCGCGTTTTCTCTGAACAATCACAACCGTATTTTACTAATTGCCTTAAATGAAGTTTTAATTATTTATCGGCCAAAGAGAAGGCGATAAGGATGACTAATGTAAACTGGTATATTCTTGTTTTCTGTCAATCTGCAACCTGTTGTTAGTCCAACAACCGTATTACGCATGTTATGGTGTGTTCCAGTTAGAAGGATCGATAACAAATTCGTATGGGAATATTCAGGACGTTTCTGGAACTTACAGTCACTTCATATTAGATAAGCTAGTACGATGGAAAGAGTGATTTATTCAATGCTAGATATTAAAAAAGCTATGTGTAACTGGGAAAGTACACTGAGAAAAAAAATGATTAGACCGATTAAAATTTTATTATTTCATTAAAAAAAATAATTAACTATGTGGCAGCTAACAAGCTTAATTAATACAATTAAACTCTGACTAATAAAAAAGTTTACTTGGATCTATGAAACTAGTTTAATTAAACCAAAACGCAATCGTTTGATTAAATGTAATAAACCGTTTACTTAGACTGAGTACACCAATTTATTTAAAATAAATGAAATATGAAAATGAGTTTACCTGCTCCAAGTAAAATAATTTAATTACATTTATTTTGGCTAATTAGTTTAGGTAAAGGTATTAGCCTAGTTTTAATGAATAATTTTATTTAGATTCAAAAGGATAATCGGATAATATTTGCAATTTGGAAGAATAAATTGCATTTTACTGAGTGATTTATACTATAATTGTGCTCTGACAAATCTTAGATACCAATATTTAATATTGATAGTTGATGTTTTCGAATCAAAATAAAAACTAAAATTTAAATTTTATAACCCTAACAAAATTCGATATTTTCTATTTTCACTGCTTGTGAACATATTATATATAGGATCAAGTTTTACCAATTATTTGCCTGATTGTTCAGAAACAGGTTATAATATATCAAAATTTACTAGAAGCAATTCATTGCTCTAAACTCAGAAATTATTGAAAGGGATCCCTGACACTGAATAAGGTCACTTCATAACATGTACAGAACTTGTACTTTTATTTATGATAATAAAACAATATTGTATTCATCCCCGCATTCAACGTATTTACATATGCAAATAAATTCGATATTGCTTCAAATAAATTAGGATATTTTCAGTTAATACAATATAAAAAAACCACATCAAGCCTATGTTAAGCATATGTTTGGTATAAAGGCCATGTTTGACCTTAATATGGCTGCAAAAAGATAATTTCGAATCGCCTCCCATACCGTCACGTCAGCAGTGGTCCCTGTACACAGTGTTTCACTGAGCGAAAAATATTCATCACTAAGCGCCTTATGCATGCAGTTATTACATCAACAACGGCAACATTCGAATATGAAGCTGCTCGCGAAAATCACAAATGAAACTAAGGAGTTCGAGGCATGTCATCGGCACTGCGCCTGTCACATATTCCTGTTCATTCAGGAATGAAGGACCGAGATCGCGTTCAAATAAACAGTTTAACTGTTTTTATTCTAATGTTTCTTGTTTCAAATGTATCTTTTCTACATAAACTAAATTGCCTAAAATAATTAAACGGTTTAATCAAACAGGTACATGGTTTGCTATTTTCAAGCAAATTAGTTTAATAGTATATTACTTTCAATTAAACTCGTTCCAGAAAATTCAGTTTAATTAAATCTAATAATTTAGTTACTTAGAATAAATAAAAGATCATTACAGGCAATGGGAATTTTACAGAACAACTGTTTACTTCATAACATTTTCTCAGTGTCTGCAAGTAGTAACCAAATGATGTTTGAAAATAAAATACAGTTTTAGTAAACGCAACTGTTCAAAATCCCATATCATAGTACCTAATATCGGTTGTACTGAGCTATCTATGCACCGAAATCACTCTTCTACTTGAAGCAGATATTAGAGTAGAACAGATAATCCATTATACTTAGACGGCCTACATCTTGGGACCCGTTGAGTTTTGGGGGCTGTAACCATTAAGGCATTTGTACAGGACGCCTGGACACAAAAAAAATCAGCGATATTAACCGGTACCACACTATCTAAACCATTTTTCCGATAGGCGTGTTGCCGGGACCTTTCCAGATATATCTAAATCTTTACTGATGAAGTTAGCTTTAGCGTATATCTCTGAAAGCAATTCTATCATACTCGTAGACATGTTCCTGATTTGACTGGCCTATAGAAGCATTTCGTAAGTGCAACGACACAGTGGTTGCAGCGCGTTGCGGGTCAGCACTCCGCTTCAGTCCTGAATACCGTACAAGTCACAATGGACGAAGGTTATGATGATAACGAACGTAATACCATTTTAATATAATTTCAATATTATTGCTTAAAGAACGCCTTCCCGGCAAAATAGCATACATACGATCGAATTTTGCTTGGGTTTGGGTGATTGGTGCTCAGTGCTTTTATGTTTTGCAGAATCACTGAACAAACAAGAAACTGTGAAGACTGATAATGATCCCCAAGGAAAAATACCATTCAAAGAGATAGAGATTGAAGAGCTAGATGATGTGGATGATCCCAAGATAGAGGACGATTCAAGTCAAATAGAAGTTGAAGTCATTGAAGATGAAAGCGAGGAAGATATGGAAGATGCATCTTCGGAAAAAGGTAACTACAGTTTGGGATTAACGAATCTCTAACTCGTGGTAAATATATGAATTTAAGCCAGCTTAACGCTTTATCTACGCAGTAACCTACCAACTAGGAGCGTATGCTCTGCATGAGTGCAAGAGGGATACCTACAATACGTAAGGGCGTCCGCGGGCCGTGGCTGAGAGCCACCACTAGAGTTCATTCCCGGGCCTTAAAACTACCTCTAAAAGGGGTGGAAATTGGGTTCCGAATGCCAGATGCAGCAGCACGGTATTCACATATTATCATATCACGTATTTTTCGACGTCCAATTCGAAGCAGGCACTTTTGAAAATGCGCATCTTATCCAATATTACCATTGTTATTACATTTATATTCTTCAACTCATACCTGAAAATCTATTGTAATGTTACAGTTAATAATAAAAGAGCTATGGAAGATATCGAGATAGAAGAATTGGATTCCCAAGAGCCCATCTACGAAGCAGATGAAGATGAAGAAGTGCATTGTGGAGAAGCTTTCATTATAGGTAAACTTCAATGAAATAACTTGTTCGGAACTAACTTGTGTACTAGTCGATTAGTTGAATGCTCATTGGTGGAAAGGGTAGCGAAGACAAGCGAAGCGACCTGTCACATTTAACGCGCGCAAATTACAAATTTCGCTGCGGTTCCACTTGAGTCACTTCGCCTCCTCAATATGCATGTAAATTAATACAAATCAAATGAATCAACTGATACGAAATCTATCAATAGAATAAAGATTGTAATTCCAACGAGTTTGAATGGACATATCAAGTGTAACTACTGGATCTTTTCAGTACACGTAAACTTAACAAATACTTCAGAAAACATTCTTAATGTTTTTTTCTTTTTTAGCTGATATGTCCCCTTCTTCTGTCTTTTTTCTATAGTTAGTTTGAAATTCTTTGAAAGGTGAGTTGATATTCTCATTTAGGTTTTTGAAAAGGTAATGAAAATGTGAAAAAGGGAGAGAGCACAGAATATGCCTTTGATCTAAAACCTAAATACTCTAGATCTCCTTCTATAGCTGAACCTAATCCAAAGAATTTCGGCGCATTTTTAAATAAAGAAGTTTAACGTATACTCGATTCAGTAATTTTGTCATTAATATAGTATTTGAGTTTCAAAAGATTGAAATGTCACATTTCGTAAGTGAAAATAATAGTGAAAGCTCGAAAAACTGTCCTTAAGTCATGTTATTTTAATAAGAAATAGGGCTAGTGAAATATTGCTTAAGCAAAACAATTATATTAATCATGTTTCATTGATTAATATAGGAAAATGAAAATACGCATAGTATTATATTCTGTGTTTAAATGTTACACGTTTTAATATTTCTTCGCAGTGACTTCTGGTAATAGATGACCCTTGCTGTCTTATTTCGATCTGATTTGAGATCTTTAAGATATATTGGGGAACTCGGGCAAATAGATCAGTGAATAATACAAAAATTTACATTGATTATGAAAAACTAAATAACAACTTACTCAATGAAAATTGGATTGTAGTATATAACGAACCTAATATTGAAAATGCATTTGTCCTTTTTATATCTAGCATTGAAGGCCATATTGCTGAATGCACCAAAACAGTAAAGATACCACGAACACAAATAAAAAGACAAGCATGGATATCAAAAGGGATTATTACCTCCATCAACAAAAAAATAGAATTATATAAGGAAACCAAAAAATATCCTTATGATGTTAAACTTTTGAATGAATTTAAATCATATCGAAACAGATTGACAAAAATAATTAAAGAGGCTAAAATTAAATATCTCCAAGACGAGTTTGATAATCTACAAAATTGTTCGTCCAAAATGTGGCAATTTATCAATAAAATACAAGGCAAAAAACAAAACAACAAAATTAGTACAATTAAAAAAGAAAATGGTGAACTAGTGAGTAATGATGTAGATATAGCAAATGAATTTTGTGGATATTTTTCAAAAATCGGGAAAAGGTTGTCAGAAAGCATAAAAAACGCGGAAAAATTAAATTATAGTAAGACCAGATTATGTAACTCATTATATCTGGAACCGACCGATACGCATGCAATAAAGACAATAATCAATGAATTGAAATTAAGAAAATCTCCAGGTCTAGATAATATAACAGCGTATACTCTCAAGAGAATAAATTGCAACATCTGCGGCATACTATCATATTTGATAAATTCTTGTATGAATAAAGGAATATTCCCTTCATGTTTAAAACACGCTATGGTAAAACCATTATTTAAATCTGGAGAAAGAGAAAAACCCATCAACTATCGACCAATTTCCATCTTAACAAATTTTTCTAAAATATTTGAAAAAGTGTTAAAAAAACGATTCACCGAATTTGCAAAAAAATATAACTTAATAGCGGAAGAGCAATATGGTTCTCAAGAAGGCAAATCTGCTCAAGATGCTATTGTAAAATTAACAAATAAAATATACACGAATCTCGATATTGGCAAACCAACTGCTTGTGTTTTTGTTGACTTGGCAAAGGCATTCGACTCTATTACTCATGAATCGCTTTTAACAACTTTAGAAAACTTAGGTTTCCGGCGAATAACATACAAACTTATAGAAAATTATTTGTCAAATCGAACACAGTGCGTCAAAATTAATAACACATTCAGTGAACCCCATATTATATCATACGGTGTACCTCAAGGCTCAGTATTAAGACCCATTTTATTTAATCTATTTATCAACGATTTGTTCAAAATAAATAGTACAGGTAAAGTTATCGGTTTTGCGGATGATACAGCTATTCTCTATGAAAGCAACCAGTGCCATACACTAAAAACCACAATTGAACATGATTTCAAAACATTTATAAATTTCTTTTCGGAAAGAACTTTGACAATTAATTACAACAAAACACACTATATAGCATTTTCTTGTAACGACAGGCTCTCACCACAATTTAAAAAACTTGAAATTCATACAAGCAGTGGTCTCAAAGAGATTCAGTCAGCCGATAAAATAAAATACTTAGGCGTGATTTTGGACAAACACTTAAAATGGGATACCCATACAGAGTACCTTGTGAAGAGACTGAGATGTATTATTCCAAAATTCAGGTACTTCAGAGATATTCTAGATAAGAAATATCTATATAATCTATATTATGCTCTTGTTTATCCCCTATTACTTTACGGAATTTTGGCTTGGGGGGGAGTTATGAATAATAATTACAAAAAGGTTGAGGTAATCCAAAAATTAATTCTAAAATTGATCCTCCATAGGGAGATTACTTCGTCGCTTGAATGCAGAAGTATTCTAAGTCACAAAATGCAAATCTTACAGGAGAGCTATTTTTCGTGTTTGCGTTATGACTAACATTTCTGAGAAATTTTGGACATACAATGCTTTACCGGAGAAAAAGTATGACAAGTCCGTGAAAGTGGACTTATATTTTTTGCTGACATTGGCGTTACAGTAGTTCTGTAAGTGTTCATCTGCTCTAATCGTAGTTCTGCAGCGAAATGACGCGCCTCAAGTTGCTACGCCTAATATCGTTCAAGACCAGTGGTGGGGGAACGCGTGCGCAGGGACTTACGATACCTCTGCATGCAGTGCAGGTGACTATGACCTGCAATGTCGTGTTAAAATCTTAAAAGTGAAGAATTTGGACATACAATAGTTCTGCATTCAGGCGACGACTTATTCAAGTGATTTTCTATATGTGGAGGCTCAGCTATTAGATTGCAGACAAATTTATTTTTATTGTGGTCTAATACATTATTTCAAATATTCAAAATACTTTAGTCGTACCATTCATAACTACCCAACAAGATTCAATCAAAATTCAATGTGTATTCCACAAACATCAAAAACCATTACACAACGATCTCTGTTTTTCTTGGGACCAAAATTCTATAACTTCATACCAGAGTCATTAAAAGTAATTAAATCAAATAAATCACTTAAAAAACAACTAAAAAATGGATTTTACAACAACCAAGGTACTCCATCCACGAAATTGTAGATCTGAAAAGTCATTATCAAAATCAATAATATTTTACTTACACTAACATCCATACTTTTACTTCAGTTCTAATTGTCTGGATATTTTTCCTGACATTACCATAATAATTCACCAAATTATACAGTATTAACGGGTTTTTTCTTTTTTTTTCATACACTGACTGTACTATTAGTTTTTATTTTGTACAAACCCAAACACAAGTGCAAACTTTTTTTGGGTGCTTTATGTTTATTGTGCACTATATTTGATATTTACTTGTATTTTGTGACAATAAACATTAAACATAAACATATGAAATTTGAGCGAAAAAAAAATCTTATAAGCTGGTGGTTATGGTGAATCCATGAAGACTTATCTGTAGTGTAGCATGCAACGAGTGTACTATCGAACAATGGATTTATATGGTTTTAGAGCCTTGGATAAGTATACTCTGAGATCCAAATTTGTCTGACTGCTTGAGTTAAACGTGTTCGAGAGAGAAGTGCGTTAGAAAGCGGTAGAAGCTGATTGGATAGTGAACATAATCACCGCGTCTAGCAACGCTGGCGCAGAAATCTACCGCGCTGGCAGTATGTTACACCAGTTACTTGATTTAAGATGCGAATTGAAAATATGCTTTAGTTTAATCTTTAGGCCCAAATATTGGTTTCATTTTGAGCGTACACAATTTTTAATTTGTCCTAAAGGCGCTCTATTTTAGGTCAAAATGAAAAGCCAGGATAGCCACAAATTCTGCACCATTGCTTCATTGGTTCATTTGACAACACCACATCTTGTACATTTCAAAGAAAGGAATCCATATCCATGATTATTGTTGAGCGATTTTGGTCAGAACCCATCTAGCGCTCGTACAGGAGTGACGTCCTGCTGCATGGCTTTCACCTGCGCACACACAGGCCGTGATAATTTGTATTGCGTAACGTTATTTGTTACATTTTCCGACCGCAGTATGATCGCAAAATGTAACAATAACTCAGGATTTATTGATTTATAATTCTAAAATAAAAGAGTCAACAAAATTGAACGAAATAATTCTAATCAGAATGAAAACAAAATATTAAATTAAATGTTCGAACAGACCTCCTTCTTGGATTTGACAGTAACCTAACCTGTTTAACGTAGCAGCCTGTGCGAACATTTTCTGGTGTAACAAGGCAGATTGCACGACCTTCTGCGTCACTAGGCAATGTGGTGATGTCTTTCGCTCTTCTCTCTCGTACACACTGAACTCACCGTCAGACAAATTCGGCTTTTCCTGTATGCACCTCAAGTTATACCCACCTCTCGCTGAAAAATTGCATGGATCCACCATTATACTTTATGTTAGGTTATTAACATGAGCAATCTTTTTTCAGAACCCCAAAAAGAAATCTCCTTCTCCATCAGTGATAGTACAAATACCTCATATGATATTTACAGCGGATTAACTCCAGAAGATGAGAAAAATGCCGAAGAAGAATTTGATAAATTAATTAAAGCGATGTAGGGTTAAATTCATTTTTGTTGGAAAATTTGAAACGGCCAATACTTCAGTATTGTTTGCGAGCGTGCAGCGTTAAATAATTGTTGCATGTGATTAAAATTTTACTATTTGAAAAAAATATGTAGCCGGTGTCTTAGCCAGAAATTTTGCAACAAACCTCATAAAAATGGCAACGGCAAGAGTTGTTGGAACTGTATATCACAGGACTTTAGAATTAATTTAATTTAAGTGTTTTAGCAAAACAATTTTTGTTAAATTGTGACGTACTTCAATCATGTAAGAGTAACAAAATTACGCTCTCGTCTTTAACGTTTTTGGATATTATATGAACTTCACTTGCTTGCCAAACTATTTATTTATTTATTTCTTCTTCAAGGTACCATCATGCAAGTTAAGATAATTTTAGACGATAATTATACGCAATTAAAACAAATGTCTCCATAAACGTAACAAGTATACTGCCATAAAAAACCTCAGATGAATACAATTTACTATTTATAGGATTCATAATATTTTTTCAAGGAGAACATAAAGATGTCATACGAAGATTTACATTTTACCTTATTGTTAATCGATCAGTTGAATTTGAATATTGCAATAATTGTCTTGCAAATTTTAACAGATTAGTTCCTAGATGTAGATATTAAGTGTTTCAAAGATGTGAATTATCAGCAAAAAAGATTCTTCAGGTTACAGTATTATTTGAATAGGTTTGTCAATCGCGGTCTAGTCATATTTGAAAACAATGTTTTATTAAATTTTGATCTAGCCGGAAATGCATCATATGCTGTGAACACATTACTATTCATGTCTTAATCTTGAACTCAATTTTAACAATGAATTTTAATAGCATATGTTATGCACTTTTTTGTAGGATTGTATTTATATATGTATTGTTTTACTGTATCTTATAAAAATAGTTTGATTATATTGTTGAATAGTGATGTTATTGTTTTATTTACTTTCCATTAAAATTAATACTATATTCCTTGTGAATCATACCAACTGAACATGCACAAAAACTATTGTAATTCATATCTGATGTTTCTTATTGCCTGATATTGTCATAATAAACAAACCATTGTTATGTTTTGATTACTGATTACTAACACAATTGCATATGACACCAATTTTGGACTGCTGAGGGACTGCTCATGAAATAGTATTCACATGACCCTGAAAAACTTAATTTATTTATCCCTTGTATATTCTAAAAAGAACGCCCGCTTTCTTTATTTTCCTCATTTGTTCATCTTATCTATGTTGCTGATATCACAGAAGAATACAAGCCCAAATATCAAAACGCGGAGTGAGCTCGACAAAGGTTTTATAATTTCTTATCTTTATTTTATTCTTAAGCACTGTATGGACAATCTTGATAGGACAGCAGATTCCAGAAAATATCAGCCTACTTCATGACATGACAGAAAGTATATGTGTACGTTTTGGATAGCAATTTCGGCGATTTTCAATACCGCAGATCTGAATGAGAATATTTTCGCTTTATCTACCATGACAGGGGCCGTAGATATTCTTTGCAAGAGTAGAATGATGATATTTCGATATGATCTAGTGTAGTTTGTGTAAATCAATAAAAAAAAGGGGTCCAAAAAGAAGCAACGGAGTATTGATGACTATTTATTTAAGAAAAAAATATTTACTCTTGCTATGTATTCTTGGCTGCTGCGATATAATCAATCCTTTGCATTTTCAATGCAAACAGTGCCAAAAACAGCAGTCAAATACAACCTACTCGTACACTCAATCGGTGTATTTGCTGCAGAAAAAAACGAGAGCAACCCACCAGCAAGGTGCGAATCTTTAATGTGTAATCGGTCCATAGTACCAATAACTAAAATACATAAAAAAGTTAGTTATAAAAATTGTAGGCAGCTTTACGGTCACTACTAGGAAAATATGCCTCTCTTCCCAGGGTGACTCATATATACATGACAACACAAACATATAATTTGCAAATTAAGTATTAGTATATTTTGAAATGCATCTTCAAAAGAAAAACTTTGATATGCATAGTGTTTGTATGTAGCTACGGGATATTTGTACGGAATATCAATGAGCTTTGATATCAGTCACTTTTCCAGATAAAGTAGAAAACTGTTTGCCAAATGAGCTTCATATAGGGACAGACCTCTAATCTAAATATGCTTGTGTAAACTTTTTAACGGAAAATTCCTAATTTGATACTTAAATTAGAGCCCTGAGAGATTGATATTTAATTATATTCTAATATTTTTATATTGCAAATGCCACAGAAACTTAAAAAGTGGAATCCACATGACATGATAAAGTCCGTCAAAGCTGCAAAGAATAAGGAGATGGGTTATTTAAAAGCCTCAAAGGGATTCGGATACCTTCCCCCGCCAGTTCAGAATGCAGCGGAAGCCTTAAGCTGGACGATTTATCTTCAGACGAAAGCGGTGGAAGCGATGCTGATTGTTTATTTTGTACGTGTCGATTTTCCGAAGATAAGATGTATGAAAAATGGGCAAAATGCAGCCATTGTAGTAGATGGGCACATGAAGATTGTGGAGAGATTACCAATATAACTTTCATTTGCATTTTCTGCAAAGGAAAGGGATTTTTTGAACAGTATTTCAAATTAGGGAAACACCTGGGAATTCACAAAAATATTTACTTTTTTAAAATATAATTTGTCTGTAAAAAAATACCTTTAATATTATTTTTTTATCTTAGAGTTTGCTAGGAGCATCAAATGTCAAGTTTACTAAAAAATATACCCTCGTTCAAAACAGAAAGTACTTTATTTTGCCCTTACAAAAAAAATATCTCAAACTTGGTTCCTTTCCTCTATCTTGAAAAGTGACATTATGCCGATTTTTTTTGGACATTATATTGGTTTTTTGTGACATTATGTAGGTTTTTCTACAAGATGTTAACTTAGCACTAGCTGATGGACACGTTGTGAACTCATTTTGTAGTTGTACGTGTTGCCTAAACGTCATGAGGCTTCGTAGGTAACGGCAATGCATAGGTGCCCAGTGAGTATGTGTGTGCTGATAATATGTGTTGATGATAATTCCATTGAATTCTTGTTTCAAATAAACTTACTTGAGATTCAAATCTAGAAATTAGTTGTGCATCCACTTTTTCTTATCCATTATGGAAATTACATATGCTAATTCGCCTGTTAGATCCTGTTGCGAAAGGCCTGTTAGATCCTACACCATGCAAGTGCCGTTCGAATATTGTAGCAAAATGAGTCTTCAAGAAAAGCAAAGACTGTTTTAAGAGAGAAAGCGATAAGAAAACAAGGAATAACTCGCTTCAATCTTCCATAAAAGTGGAATATTCACAAATAATTTTTGAGCTGTACTATTACTTATTAACAAGTTACGATTGAACAAAACTGCACAAAAATGTATCTTTTCACAAAAAAAGATAATATTGTCCTACAGTCCCCCTATACACACCTTGAAACAATCAGACGAAAAGTATGAATAATACCTTTCCAGATGGGCTGTTGAAAATAGGAACATGCAACGTAAAATTCGTATTTTTAGTCCTATTCTTCAAAAGAGCGGAGGATAGTGTTCGACAATTCCAGAACATGCTACTTTTTGCACGAGTTGCAAAGAGCGGCACAAGCCTAATGGAGGTAGATCTTTCCATCGGTAAGTATTATTATTATTATGTTGATACAACGATATCACTTTGGTAGGCAATGATAGTCCACTGAGTCAAACATATGCACTAAAAGTACACAATTTTGGTGACAAACAATGTTTGACCCTTTCTAATTTGTTGGGTTCAACAATACTCGTGCTATAATAACAGTGTCGCTACTGCCAGCTCTGTCAGCAGGCAGTACCAGCACGCCATGCACTTTCACTAAACAGTCGCTCGCCAGCTATGGCGAAGGTCAATCAGAGTGACCGTCGCGTTCAAGAGGAACGACTAACCGCGGTTCCACCACCACCTCCAACAGCACAGTGTCACCGCTGCACGTAGGGCTAAACGCGGTACAACTCGCAGCTTGTGGCAATTTTTCAATTTGTATTTGTGTCCGTGCTGCGTGCCTACCGTGTTGTAACGACCTCACGTGATCAGACTCGCGAACTCCAACCAGCACTAGGTGGTACCTACTAGCAGTTTATCGGCAAATCGCGGTACCGTTCGCGTGTCGCGAAGAACCTACACGCAGAAGAAGATATTCGCCGGGACCGGTTCTCCTAGTTATTCGTTCTGTTATTATGTAACAACAGGTGTGCCAATAGGGTTATTTTTTTCCGACGTACTTAAATATTTTGTAAGTGAGCTTATCTTATTTTATTTACTAAATTATCTTTTTTCTCACTACACAGGTACTGACACATAGACTTGGAATTGGCACTAAATTAAAATAGTTCATAACTTCGAGAATCAGTTGCACACAGTGCCGCCGGTGGATGGGCACATTTTTTTAGAAAAAAAAAATGCCTAAGCACATCAATACCTTTCCCAAGAAAAAATTTGGTGGTATACTGTAATAAACTAATGTTGATGAAGAAATTATTGTACAATTATTTGGTGGTCCACATGGCTCATTTCTGATCTTTCACAATTTCTACTATTTCCAAAGCGTAGACGTAATAATGTTAAGGACGTTACGAACATTTTTTGATATTTCTCAAATCACTTCTCAAGTGATTTGGTTGGAAGTGAATCAAGGCACACGCGATAGCTATTTTGAGTGTTAGTAGTGATATCTATATAAAACTCATACAGCTTTCTAAATTCAATATAATTTACCCTAATAACAAAATTCTCATTTGAGGAGAAGGAAAGTGGCACTACGCACAAATATAATCAAATCGCTAGTGATAATCAAATATGTTTCAAGTAAGTTGCAGCAAGTACCACACATTTGATTGGTATCTGAACATTGCAGTAAAGTTTTGAGTTGTGCAGGAGCACTGTAAAGTAGCCAATCCTTTGTCTTTCTGGCGGTCTGCTTATGATCGTTATCCTGCTGAAAGATAAATGTATCCCTGATCCCCATTCTTTCAGTACTGCTGTTCAAGTTATTTCGCAAAATGTCAATATACTTGTCTGCATTCAGAATTCTCTTGATGAAGCTTAGGTTTTCAATACCATTCCAGACCCAGACTAAAATGCTCCTGCATCCATGTTTCACTGTTGGGCTGACATGTCTTAGTTCAAATTACGCGTTTCTTAGGATTTTCACTATACATATTTGCGACAGTTAGTGCGGAAATCTTGAAAATTAAAGTTATGCCATGGCTGCTGCTTTCAGCATCAAAGGCACCGTTGGACCGCTTCACGTTAGCTCAACTCTCCCATTGTCATCACGTGCCCTCCGATTTTGTAATTGTCATCCTCTTGTTGTGGTACAACCCATATCCCACATTAACGTCCCTGGGGTACTACTCAACCCCAAATTGTTGTATCTCCATCGACAATAGTCTCAATGAAGAAATATGTGAATAAAGTACCGTTAATATCATAACGAAAACACCGTTTTTACTATTTAAAGTCTAATTGATTAGTCTCACTAATTTATTAGAACGCTGGTAACTAATTTATTACAAATGACTCTGTCGATTGGACTATCCATTTCGTACTGTTGCTAATTCATCATCGACTCTACTCTGCTCTGCCCTCTGTGTGCATTTATCTTACAACTGACGAGTCCAGAGCGGTCCCGCATTTTCTCGAGCCTTCATCGAAGCTTGCTAGATGGCGTTCGATGTTAATGCGACGAACCTTATCGTAGGCGGCCTCATTCTGGTTGTCTACGTCGATATAAGAGGGTGTCTCATCGTTGCTCTGAGTTCAAGTTACGAAAGTTGTAAGTAAAACAAAAATGATGCAAACTGATCTACTCAATTGTGCAATTTAAAATGATATAAATAAATCTCCTCTGTTAATGGATAAACTCGTGTGATGTTATAATCTAGATAAAATCAGTATTGCATTCTCCAATAAAACTTACAATAGCAATGAACTTAGACATATTTCAAAGAAATTCGGTGTTCCCACGTTTATAACATGTAAAATACGAGTAATTCAACAGTTAGTTGATGGTTATCTGTATGTACATTGGTAGCATTCATTAGCTCATATGTAAAAAACCATTAGTCATCTCTTTTTCCAAAGCTAGTAATAGTGATTGTTTATTATCGATAGCCATATACAGAAAAAAGATGGCAAGCCATCGGTTGACAAATTACTCATAAGATGATGATTGTATAATATGAAGAAAGGACATCTAACAAAGCAAATCCATATTTATTTTCAACTATTAATAATGTGAAAAAGAATATAAAATAAAAACAACCAGTGTACTATGGTAAAATCACCTTGAAGATTCATTCCTCGCTTTTTTTTAAAAGGTGATTCATGTAAGGGTCAATTCTGGAAGGGGGTGAAAGCTTTCATTTTTTACACAAAATTGCTTGACTCGTGTACTTGGTATAAAATAAAAACCTAAAAGATTAAGATGTAGTTTACCTTGCCCCAAAAATTACTATCCCTAAAATTCTGTTCACCCTCTAAAATTATCAGAAACTCTGAAACCAAATATTAACAATTCAGTGAACATGGTCCTTTTCCCAAGTCATGTTATTCTAGTCAGGGTAGCTGGTCCTTTACGGGTCCGTTTATTAGAGATTCCAACAATTTAATCCACTAGGATTGGCATCATTATAAATTCAGAGACGGTCCTCTTACAAAAAGTGTTGTGTTGGGGCTTTTGAATCCAAAATTTGTCCCGCTGCCGTATAATGCGACTGAGTTACAGGTAATTAGTTGTACGTTAATGTCGAAACTCATCAGGACAGTTATTTCCAACAATGTATTTTTGACTATCAGCGACTGTCAGATACGGTCATCCAAGCAAGTTAATGATGCTATGTTGCCTAGTTACGTACGGAATTCATTTGGTATGTTGTAAATTATCGAAGTACCACATCCGGGTATTCCTGCTACCTAAGCTCACCGCCAGACGTACCGGTCCGGTGGACTAATCTATCTGTATTGCAGCTCACGGTATGAACGATAACTCGCTGCAGCGGTCCCTCGGTGGGGTTGTCGCGCATATGTGGAAAGCGATAACGTTGCCAAAGAGTGTCTATCGCATGGGCTTGTTTGACTGACTTCCGCTTGATTTCTCTGTTGTACATGTCCGTACATTACGCTGAACTTAATCCTTTATTAACTGATGACGGCGTTGCGTAGGAAGTGCTGAGTCAACCTACTTGACGCCATGCTCTTATTTCATGGGCCTGTGTAATCTTCAACGAGAAAATGCCACTTAATTGTATGTTTCTTAACATACTGGTGTAGCATAGATATTGTTCACACGATGTTTTATTAAGACGCATCACATTACTCAAATAAAACTAAAAATGTGTGAAAAATGAAACGGCTAGCGGACTTACATAATCAAATTTGGTGTTTCATTGGAATTAGTCAACGTTGTATGTATGTATCTCCGATCCATTGTATCAAGGCCAGAAGACTAACCTAGGTAGAGCGGTACTCTGCATGTAATTTTTTAATCAAAATCAATTATATCACTCGTAATCCGCGCTGGCGATGTTGTGGTAGAGTGTCATTGTTTGATCGAATGGTTTAAATTTCTTTCAGTGCTACTTCTATTCGACATTTGTTATCTAGACAGTTCGTGAGACCTTTGCTTTTATATCACAGCTTCTAAGTCGTGTCGTTATTCCTCTTAGTTTTATAAGAGACAATATTTCAAAGACAAGTGAAAACTTAAAAAATCAAAAAGCTTTTCGAGCATGTTTTTTCAATTCAGCTGGAGCTTATATAGAAGTCCTGATAATGGAAATCTTGAGCATTAATTGAAAATTGCATAATTATTTGTTAATCAACCATCAGATGCAAAATGTGACTTACAGATGTTTATTTTGGCCGATTGCTCTTACGAGTACAACAATCTTGCAATTCATAACCAGCGAATATTTTTTTATCTGAAAATAGTCTCTTTTTTCTCAAAAAGGTTACCCCTCTTCATTTTCTGACTGGAGAAAGTTAGCGAGCGGAAATTCGGGAAAATTGTAGGATGACAGGTGGTCGTGTAAAATTTCAAATTTTTAATTTAGTGGTTGGGCGCCAGCAATTTAGACTGTATAGAAAGAGCAAATCTGTGATTTGATTGTTTCAAAAATCTCATAGTCTGTAGTCAGGATGAACATTCATATATACTACAAGTCGATCAGGCTTAAGCGGTCAGGTTGAACGTTCTCGACATTCCACATGAAACTCTTATTTTTCTGCGAGAACATAAAAGTGCATGCGTTCCATGTAGTTATAGTGTTCCCAGACAATTGTCGAAAATGGTGAAGATTTCTGTTTAATGCAAAAAAGTGTTAATATATTTTAGCCATCGATGTTGCGCAAGGGCACGTTGGGCTTGTACCTGGACAGTTGTAAGGTAATTTTGATTTATTTCAGTCCACTTCTTGTCTCTTTAAGTACTCAGTTCAAATCTAAGGTGTATTCGCAGGATTGTCTACCTAACAACAACATTGAACAATGAAATGTATTCGAGACAACACAAATTTTTTGATGGGTACTGAAAAGGTCAACTGATACTTTATTTTTCAGTATTATCTACTTTAATTTTAAATCTAAAAGTTCATAGGAAACTTCATTACTTTCACGGTTTAAGTAGTAATTTATTGCCTGGTGGGTCTAGTGAGGAAGGTCTGTAGGCTCCAAGAAAGGTATGAATATCAATTAATTAAATTACATCCGATTATTTTTATTGGATAAATATAGTGACAATAACATAATAACAGTAATATTTATATTATCCTCAACTAGGTATTTGCTTTTAGCCAACAATCTTTCGGATGACAACAACTATTTTGAAAAACATAGTAGAATTCAATCAACGTGGTCCCACTATTTCCATTATAACGTATTCTGTCATTACTGCTGAGTGACGAAAATATTTTTCATATTTTTCACCTTCTAAAAACATGGATTAAGTAGAATTGTTCATGTGCTACACCGTTGTATGTATCCCTGTTTATTAACAATAACTTAGCGATTCACATCGCAACATACTGGTAGATATTACCGCTAATCGTGAGTACACTCACTATGATTGGCTACTTAAATATCTCTCTAGACAAAAAATTGTACGTCAATTCATTGGATTGTCTCTTCGGTAGGCAATGCTAGACAAATGAACCAATAGTATGCACTAAAACTAAACAAATTTATAGGCTTGGCTCGACCTAACCAATTCTAAATCGTTGGATGTAACATATTAAA